CACATTCGCTTCAATGAAGAATACTTGGCTCTACAGTCAGAACAGTATGATACGTGTTGAATGGGGTGGGGTAATGATTGACTCTGGAACCAAAGATGAGCTGTTACTAGAGTATGTTGGCCACCTCTCCTGTAGTTAGCATTATACCACTTACAGTAGATTGAACTGGGATTCAGCACTGCACCCCATGGATGCGGTTGATGCGCCTTTAAATGATTTTAAGATTCGTATTGACTTTCACCGCTTGATCTTATAGGTGTTTGAGTTCGTCTTAGTAGAACAAGTTAAAGCTACCGTTTCGCTTAAGTATGTGGCATACTAGGCCTGATTACTTGGAAAACTGTACAAGCGCGCTACGCTGAATATCTGCAGTCCATGGATTTTCGAATCTGAATTCTCAGGAAGGACGTCGTCTGTTTCGGATGGAAGAACTTGGTTTCAGACGAAATGGGTGAAAAAATCTCTGCACACGACATCGGGCAGCTGTACGGTTAGGAAGAACAACGGTTCCTTGAACGATATGATACAAGATGTTGTAATAGGTGATGAGGTAGGCTTCCCCGATGTTGCCACCGATATAAAACGCGCAACGGATGTAATGAAAAAGCGACGTCGTTTGCTATCAGCGTTTTCCTGGCGAATTTGTCATGGTTCACCAGATATTAGGCGACCATTATCCCACATGATATCTTCGAAAGCTCCGTCATCGCAGTAGACTGAGAGTCCACCACCTTAAAATGGCAAAATATTACAGTCGGCTGCAGTGAAGGCGGAGTGTCCTCTCGTTGCATGTTTGCTACGCTTTTAATTCCCTCCAAGAAGCTAGTATTTCAGCCCCCTATGTTAGCTGTGTTCAAAGAGCATGTCAAAAATGCGTTGGCCAACTTACACCACATAATCTAGCATCGTCTGGCGTACACGAAACAACATACACACTCGGAACAGTGCTGGGGAATATAAAGACGGAAACAATTCGAAAAATGCATAAACTCACGTGTGAATGATTCAGACTGACAAAATTTTACTCGGCAGGTTCACTGTCTTTGGCTGTCGTTCTCTTTCTTGAAACATCTCACCGACCACTCGGAGGAACATGTTAAGCTTCGTATATTTTATCCGCTATATACCACTTACCACTTATTAATATTCCCTCCTTGATGAACACGAGGTTGCAAGCAGACAGCTTGTCACAGGAGCCGAATTGCGTTGGAGGGGTACATGGTTGTAAAGCCGTAAATCGGTGGTTATTTCTTGCATGTCCCTCTTAAATTGATTCATGCGACAAACAAGGAAGTCGAATGCGTGCACACTGAAGTCTGACACCAGCTGGACGTGACTGTATGACCATGCCAGTACTGGTTTCATAGCGGAAGGTATGCGGTGGTCTAATTCAACCTACACTTTGGATGGCCGTAAACCGTTGCTAGTTGACACAATTCACCACGTCTTCCTTGCAGACGGCACCGAAGAGAATCGATAACTTACGTGTCTGGATCGCCGACAATATCAATACGTCAGTCAGAGCAGCATTACAAGCTTACTGCGCCTCCACCTTTGACTCAGTCGTTTCGTGGTGGGATCATACCGGTTAGATGTATCTCTGCATTGGTGGTCTCCGTAATCAGCCACTTTCCGGTTACCACAACTATATCCAAAGGCGTGGAGACTTGCCTCATACGAAGCTCGGTTTACTCGCCGAGAAGTCCGTGTGCGCTGATATACAATCAGATGAGGGGGCGTTAGAGGTCAGAAGTGTGTTTGTAGGTGCGAATTCCGGGTGAGGATCTATGCTAACTCCTGTGAGGTAAGCTGCCGATCGTTCTATGTTGAACCACCGACTGATCTCAGGGCCATTCCGGGTGGGTGTATTGAGTGCTCATTAACAGCAGCTTACTGACTACCCTAACTTCCTTCAGATGGTACATAGACTAAACAGCGTCCCGATTCGGAACTGCATGCTGAGTGGGCTGCACACGAAACCTTCGTGTTCGGTGTTATCTTGTTTATTTGTGGCGGGATGTTCATCGCCTTTTTGAATATGTTGGATGGAAAGTTTTAGCGCACTTCTTATCACATTTCGGGCGCCTTTTCTGCCATGAGTTGGATAGCAGCCTTATATCCACTACGCTTTGTGGTTGGGTGCTAATGATAACCGTGACGTCGAATAGGCGACTACTTTTCCAAGCGAAAGCTTTTCACGGGTGACGTGCCATTCGTCCCAATACTGTGCTCGCTTGAAGTTTTAAACTCGAGGATACCAGAAGTCGCCGATGTAACCACCTGCCTGTTTGATACATCCATAACTCGGTGACTTCAATGCCTATCTCGCAAAGTATAGGCACAAGGTCGGAGCACTAACCGAGCCGCAAAACTCGGCGCTCACGAATTTCAGAAAAATGTAAGGGGTAAACGGCGCTTAGCTGACATCAGCTACATCACTTTTCCAACTCGGATGGATTCCATTGATCTGATCCCCTAATCTATCCCCAGCAAATGACATTTGGGCTGCTGTCGCAACAAACAGTCAGAACTTGCTTGACCACGACAAAACAGAGTATGGAAATTGGAAACTTATAGCATTTTCGCCCTGCTTTTGAATGTATGCAACGGCACACGTTCCTGGACCACAAAGTCACGAGCAAGAGGCAAAGCCTGCAGTTTCGCTATTTCTGTTAGATCAAGGAGTGCACAGATGGTCGATTGATATGCTTATTGGGTTGTGATTTGATACGCGCCAGCACATCATTGTCCAGTATGCTCATACGGTTTCAACTCGCCAAATCGCATTGGACCGTATAAATAAGCAAAAGGTCTCTCATTTACCAGTCCCTTCTCACCAACCATACAGGAATGAGATAGCGTCGTTACGTTTTGTCATAACCAAATATATGGCAACTTCGAACAAAGAGCAGAGTATAGAATTAGGATGGTGTCTGCCCAAAAACTGCACTCCGCAACGCGTTTCAACCTGGGAGCATTAAGATGTTAGCTGGGACCTCTGCCATTATTGTCACCGGGTAACAATGTGCAACACTTGACACAACGCTTAGTGACCGAGTTTTCACTTGATGTACTTGTTGTGTGAAGGAATTGCAACACACAATCACGAGGTGGACCGTGGTACGCATGCAGGCGAACCTTGCCAATTCAACCACAGGGACCGTAGCTGAAGCGTATGGCTTCGAGGTTTGCTATCTACTTGACGTCATAACACAAGGTTGAAACGCGTAGTGGACCTCGGTGTTTTCAGGCTGGCAACACCATATTTCCGTACGCTTCAGCAACGGTCCTAGTTATGGAATAGGTCAAGGTTTGCTACCATTCGAATCAGGGTCCACCTTCAGACTGCGTGTCACAATCCATTCACACAGCGAGTATTTCCAATGACCTTCCAAAGACCGGAGTAATTGTTCACCAACCCTCTATTAGCATGAGATAACGCAGACACTACGGATATGCTTCACGATTTTCATTATCAAACTACACCGAACACACCATCCTCTGGTGTTTGTGTACAAGTGTTTCGAAAGTGGTTGCATTATCGCGTTAGTTGGTTGATATTTGATGACTGCACGAAGAATTGAGTTCAAGAAGAGACAGTAGCTTGTGCTGTAGGAATGCATACCATCGGTTTATACCGAAGAGTGGTTGCCGTAATGGCTGATGAAGGCCCCCCTTGGATATCCACAATGGCCCGTGTTCGACCCTTAGTAATGTTTCTATCTCAGGCGTTTTGCTCTGGTAGTTGAGTGTAAAGTTGCAAGAGATTTTCGCTAAAAGTATCCCAGCAATGTCCCTGATTCATTTCCGCGCTTGCAAGCAAGCTGGTATACAAACATTGAGAAAAATGTGGTTGGGATGAGCTTTCTAACAACTCTCTTGTCATGCGATATTACGTTGCACATCACAGAACACAAGCTTGTATGTCTGTTTAGTTCGTAAACAATATGTGCGAATGGAAGCCTCGCACCTTGTGGTCCAGGAAAATGCAACTTCATCGACCACTGCTTGTGATCGGTCGCTACTTTACTTACTTCCATCAGTTTCCTCTGGATTGATCTATTTCTAAGTCTTTGCACGAACTCTCAGTTATTACGCCGCTGAATAACAATAAAATTTAAATCAAAATGAAAGTCACAAGTGTTCAATAGTTTTTGATTTCCGGTAATCATTATACCACCATACCATGACAAAAAGACTTCCCTAACCCATCAGTAAATGATAGAACTATTTTATGTTAAGCCGTTTTAAAGGATCAGATGGGCAAACAATCCGCTGGTTAAAACAACACAGATTGTTCAGTGTAATATGAAAAGAAATAATTGTCAGTTTATGAAGGAAATTTCGGGAGTTCAGCATATTGGCCATCATGCTACACAATCCTATGATGGGCATAAAACGTCGACAGACTGGGATGAGACGAAACCATTATGATGTACCCGAAAGTTTTCCTCATGAAAGGCTGTCGGTGGACCGTACTTGGAATCACAGTTGTCATCTCAAATGCGGCGGTCCGTAGGATTGGCATGAATCTCGAGAGCAGGTCATCATACGAGTGTTTACAACATACTGCACCCACCATATGTGAAAATAGTATACAACAATTTCAAAGATTGAACACAAGCTACCGCAGATTTAACGTTTCTACACACAAATGTTGTACACTTGTAAACAATAACTCACCCACAATAATGACACAATATGAACAAGCAAAGTAAAATTTGTGGGCAGATATTTGCCTTAGCGATTTCAGTACAGGATTGCATGGAAATTTTAGATGGACAAGATGTGAGTACCGTAGAACTGAAAGACATAGAGCAACTATTCATTGGATGGAGGCGAACGGAGATGATGGAAGCCCTCATAAGCATAGGTCGTGAAGGTATTCAAACACCAACACCGTGTCACTTGGAAGAACTGATGCGGGTAGTGGAATTGAGCACAGAAACGCCCAAATGTACTCAATCCCACTTTGTGACAATGAGGAAATACGTGAAGCCTCATAATGAAGTGGCTGGCCCTCCACTGGAGCGAGCATCTTCTGCGCTTGATGGGCTCATTTGCTTGTGTTTTCCTGTATCGGCGATTAACTTGGCGTGACTCTTTTTCCTGGATGCCAGCAGTTCCTGTTCGTCTTGGATCACCTCAAACTTGGCCCTCTGATAAATATCCTTGGAACCAAGCAAGTTGAGGGCAATGATGTCGCAAATAGTCGGAGCCTGTTGAAATGATGATGGGAGATATATCCAGATTAATGCAACTGATATAACCGTGAACTAAAAGTAATGCGTTGGTTTAGTCACCTCGGAAGGAGGGTTTCCGTTCTCTAGTAGACTGAACAAAGGTGTTCCTAACCGAGCCTAACACATGCCTAGTTGCATTATTTACGCAGGTGAAAACCCTCTTTTCCAGTTTTCATTTAGACCGATACACGGTCAGTAATTCGATGCCTTTTAACTGGGATGCGTTTCCAGCTACTCGACTTGAACTGGGAGCTGGGTGTGAGCAAGGGCTGGTTCAGTAGGAACTTTCTGTCTTTCGGCCAAGCACTTAAACTTCTTGAGGCCATCGGCTGTGGCACAAACACGCTTGGAGATAGTGGCCCAGCTTTAGATCAAGAGGTCTCCGTGTAGTTTCGTCACTGCCTTGCACGGTCGGTGGCCGAGTGGTCTGCACGTTTGGTTTGCAACCATATGGTCACCGGTTCGAATCCGCGTAGGGGTGGGCGTCCTCGCGGTATACTCAGCCCGCGCGCGACTGAAGGTGGTCACGCGGCAGCGCAGCGCCGTTACGGTGTACAGCTGACACGTTATTATTATTATCATCAATATCACCCGCATTTGCAACAAGCACGCCACTGCTAATCCATGGAGGACGGCGCACTGTTAAGCCCACAGCTGTTGTTTCTCAACCTGAAACCAACATACAAACTACCTAGAATAAAATGACAGTGAGCCGATCTAAGTGGAACGGCAAAGTTGGGAAGATGACAGGCAAAGTTCTATTATCCATTTATGGCCTCAGACTAGGGTATAGCTTGCTTACAAACAACCTCCTGTTATCGTGTCATTCGGTTAAGTTTCATCAGAACTACATAGCTTCTTTTTTGGGAAACAACAACGGACAAACGTGGTTCTGATCATTCACAAGTTAGTACATTGGTGAGACGAAAGCTGACAACTCCGTTCACGAGTCAACCACATATATTTAAGCCCATGCAGCAAGCAGGTATAACAGCAGAACAACACAAATTGTCGTGTCTGTGCAAAGTTTAACCAAAATATGCTTTCGATTTTGTTCCCTAAATATGTGTCCCGTTTGAGATCCATGAGTTCAAATTGCACAGTGCATTTTGTCGAAACGGTCCTTGGTCATTTCGTCCACGTGGAACTAAACTAGGGAACTCGAACTCTCTCACAATGCTGTACATTACAGTTGGTTTCTTCCCTACGCGAACTCTGTAGGATGCTATAAACATTTGGGGCTTGGAATCGAACCAGCAAATTCGTGACTGCCCGGGGAACACGACTTTTATTCTGCCAGATCTCCACATTTGGGTTCGGACTACACGATGAATTACTTAAGAAAAGACAAAGGCAAGGTGTGAGTGTGGAGTCATTTGCGAGCTTACGAGAGCCACACTTGAGCGCCTAGGCCGCTAAAATCCAGATATGCCAGAATCGGTAGGTAAGCACAATTCGTAACCAGCTTTTGTCGAAGGTTACGCTAACATAGCAAAGTACAATTCTAGAAAGCTACCATGGATTGAATATTTTAGCAGGAAGCTGACAAATACCGTCAAATGGATTCCAACTTTGAAGGAATTCTATCTTTTTCTGGTTGCAGATGTGGGTGTGAGATCAGTAAAAGTTTGCCTGTTGTTTGTTAGCGACACATGCCTCCTTAGTGTACTGCCATAGGGTTGATAAGAAGTTAGTTGTGAAACAAAGACTCCAGCTTTGTCACTTACAGGCACACCAAGCATAACTTGAATCTTCCCGAGGAATAAGGTTTCGCATGTTCGCGCAATACTTGTGGTCTAATGTTCAGTGATTCACCTTTCAAGCGTCTATCAACAGTGGACGCGGAATCAGATTCTCCGCTTGGATGAGTCTGAGGCCTGTAAGGTGGTGTACACATCGCTGTAGTACATATCTCCGTGTATCTGGACGCAAACGCAACAGAGCTTAGAAGCAAACGAACGGTTTCTAGGTTGACACCAGTTGCAGTTATTGCCAAGTAACCACCTAAAGGCAGACAAGCTGAAACCCGTGGTGTCAGGAAATATCACTGGATGGCATCACTGTAGAGTTCAATGTGGGAGTTCGATTTACGTGCCCGGCAGACGACTGTAGTGTTTTTACCCGCACTCCTTTAACTAGTCCTTAATACTTAGTTACATACAAGTGGTAATATAGCCCGACAATTTGGGCTACACCAGCGGAAAAGTAACCTGAAATGGTTCAGGCGCTTACTTAGCATAGAGCTGTTGTTGCACATGAGGAGAGATATTCCCTACAAATATGAACCGTTTAATATATGTAACCTGTCACCATCAGGTTGACCGCTTCGACCAAAGAATTATCTCAAGAGCGTGTTCCGCAGAGAAGATAACGGGACCAGGTGTTACATCTATGAAGCTTGATGAGTGCACGTCACAAAACCCACTACGTGTACCAGTGATTGCAAAACGAAGTGAAGAACGCTGGCAAGACAGCCTGGGTCATTGGGAGGTTAGTTGAAAGTACTACCCTTTAAGCCACCGAATCACGACGCGCAAAGGCTGTCACAATGGTCACTGACAGTTTGGATGGTCCTTTCGGGGCAACCGTTGCGTGAGTCTAGCGTTTTCCGTTCTACAGTGGATGCAGTAATAATGGATCAGGAATGACGATCCGTATGGCTTCTTTTTCTTGATTATTCCAGAGCCTTCGGAAACCTAGATAAATTAATATCGCTCAACTTGCTATCAGAGAACGGAATTCACCCGAGCATGTGTAATCTACTGCGTTACTAGTTTCCCGAATGTAATCAGTTTACCCAGTTAAATGGTAGAAAATCGTGCGTTTTCCGTGCCGATTGTGGTGTTTTGCAGGGAGCTATTCTCGCACCCCTGAGATGCTCGTTATTTATCGAAAGCTCCCCATAAAAACAACATTCATAGGACGCAAATATGCTGAAGATGTTGAAATAACCTCCAGCATTCAGGTTTCATCATTGCTTCTATGTGAACTTGGAGATATGGTGATCTTTAAACAGATCCCTTACTCACAACACTTCCAAGTGCGATGACGTAATAGTTCATATTCTTGGTGGTAATAGCTTGTGGTCTCTTGTAGACAATACCCTCACTCTGACTATAAGCGACAGTCCTATACCCAGATCATCCTTCGTCAAGCAGAGTAGACCGGAGCAGATTGTAACATATTTTACATGATCTGCTATTTCTCAGTTATTTATAGACCCATTTAATCTAAATTTGCTTACAACGCAGATAAATTGTCAATCCACACAATGAACATTTAACCTTTTCTTCATGTTGGGTGTTGAAATGTGTGGAAACATTTGTGTAGGGTGACCCTCTCTATTACTTTGTGCCTAGGGTACCGGGGTAAGTTGTAACATCGTACTGGGTAATTTGTAACATTTAGGGTTAGTTATGAAATAAAACTACATAAAAGCAGAAAAGTTGTACTTTTAACAGGAAAGCTTACCAGAATTACAATGGTGACAAACAAACAGTAAGTTTCGGCTACCAACATCCGTATATTGACCACGAGCCCAGAGTCCACAAGTTGAGCACTGGATCCAGATCTCACCAGGATGACTGTTACTGTAGCTTTTCATGCACACAAGACAGAAATATTCATCTTCATCCGAACATGAATCAGAACTTGCCTAAGCTTTTCGCTTCTGTCTGTTCAGGAAGAGTGTTCTGTTTAAGTTAACATTGCCTTTATCTCTCTTTTGATCAGGTTACTTTTTTCTTCCCAACAACATTAGTGAGAACCGCACTTTTCAGCTTTTTCGCGACTTTCCCCACTTGTCTTCCTGTCTGCATGCGGACATGGTAATAGCCATTCAGGGCTAAATGTGTGCTCAATGTTTGATGGACCGGCACCAGCTGAAGACAGTTCTTTAGATCTTGAAGCAACAAGTGAAAAGTTTGTAACTCCTGCAGTCACTATCTTGACTGGTGTAGTGTGCGTTGTATCAGGTAACTGTGCCAATTGAGAGCTGCTTTGTTCTGTATCGGATGGTAATGAAGATAGTCTCACATTTTCAGGCAATGGTCTTTCAGTAACCAGAGAGATATTAAAGTCTGACTCATTAAAAATATCCCTGTTAATTTGAAAAATTCGAGTATATCTGCATGATTCAATTATTTTATCAGGTGTAAAGCCTTGAGGGAGAGTGGTGCCGACAATGGCTGGAATGTCATAAATGGTCATTGCTCGGCCTGAATTTTCTCTCACCCAAGCATGGGCTCTGTTATTAGCACAGGTCCTTAAAGGACCAAAAATTACTCTAGCAAGTGGCTGCAACTTAGGTGATGAATGAGCACGTACAGAAAGCAAAGTGATATGATTTTTTTTACAGTGCTCAATTTCTGGAACACAAACGTGTGAAATGTGGTTAGCTAGGAGCAAAAGTACTGGATTAGCTCAAGATGGACCAGCAAATGGAAGAAAATGTTTTAAATCATTAGCACTAAGTTACATATTGTATTGAAACAAATACATTTATGTTACAACGTGTCCCGCCTTACATCTTATAATGTGCCCCACCCCTACCCCGGTCAGAAAAAGACTTAGCGTTGTATGAGAAGCGCACACATAACACGACACTGCAGATTCTTGAAGGAAAATGGATGACCATAGTCACTCTAAAAGCTTGAACTAATCGACTGATAAGTAAAATGTCTATAAAATGAAATATAAGAATGAGAATTTTTACTCCCCAAGCCCGAAATGTGCTATTTTTTCTGTCTCTCCAGCTGCGTTGCTGGTAACATGAAAACTTCCGGCATGCGGAGTCACATATTCGGTGTAGAAGTAAAACGGTATGCGTCGGTTGATATCCGGAAACAGTTTTGTTGCAACTCGCCCGCGCTACTTTCCACCCCGGTCAATCGTACCTCGATTTCCTGTTCTCCAGAATCCTCTTGGTCCATGCCCATTCGCGACACATTTCACAAGGTCAGAAAAATTTCCTTTCA